AAATAACTTGCATAACTTGTAAAGCACTCGGATCTTCCACGATAAAACAGCGCGAAATCGGGAGGGTATTCGCCTCGCATATTTTCAGCGGCGGTGTCAAAAGCCTTCACTGCGTCAAATACGAAAGCTGCGTCCTGCACCATGTAACCGCCATACTGCTCCGGTTCCAGAGTATTTTGAATAATACCCTGGAAGAACTTCGTTTCAAGCACAGCATTGCGTACGTTAACGCTAAAGGGATCTTCAAATAAGGATTGTGCGAATGTCAATCCAGTGTTAGAATCTTTTAAGCGATGTCCTTGAATAGCTAGCAAAGAAAGTGGCAATATTCACTTAATCATTATTTCAGGTAATTTTAGTGACATCATGCAGGTTTTGGTGTCTTAAGACTAATTTCTTTATTGAAACATATTGGTATGTAAGTTTAAAAAGGGGGCACAAATTCGCATTTCCCATGGGACGTTGTCTTCGGGGACTCATCCATAAAACATTCGCGCCGATGGAAGTCCACTCGGCCCTCACCTTTTTTATTCAAGAATTCATTTTGAAAACATTGCGGTGCGTAACAAAAAATGTTGGTCAGTGACACAACCATTGTCAGGAGTAGAATTGCCTCTGATGACGTCATCGTAATCAACTGAAATGTTAGAAATTCAAATATAAATTTTAAGATATGTTGCATATATTCTCAAATAATTCTCGCATCGTGTAGTGCGGATGTTTAGTTTCCCGTCACCTGTTAGAGAATATATTGTGAAGTTACATTGAGTTTTTCGTGACGAAAGGAAATATGAGGCCATAGATAATAAGGCATGGATGATAAGACTCGTCCACCTCTTATGAACTCGTCTATCGTAAAGATTTCTCAACTGTTCTCGGTTACGTCTTTCAAATATATAAATGAAGCAAAAACTTTATACTTTTAGTACGATCCTCCCAGCTGTGGTAATATGTTTTCTTTTTCTTTAGCTAGATGATATAATTAGTCTGAAGCGTAAGTAGTCCATTGATTTTTCACTGATGCTTTTGTAAGGCATTTTTATTCTTTAGCTAACACTCTGTCTTTTTCAAATCACTTTTCAGTCAAAGCTACTTAAATTTCTCGAGCTTGGTAATATACAAAACTTTAAACATTAGATATGTAACATAATTATGTGCATGCTTAACTACAGATTTGTATCAAGGCTGTTGTGTCGACAGATTCAAGTCGGTTCAAAAAGATACTCAAATTATTTTATATTCTAAAAATATGTATATCCCTGTATAAGGAAGCTATAAAGACATGACGTGTTCATTCTTAATTAAACGGCTCAGCTTGATGTGTCTATGCAATTCAAACGATGGTTAATGGGATGATAGCTACACCTCATTAAGCCTCATTATCGTCTCATTATCTATTGTTTCAATTGCATTCGACGCGACCAAAATGCGATGTTTAACCTACTGTAGGCATAACATTCCAATAATCAAACTAAACACTGAATGCTACCTATAATATTGCCATCGGCCGTCGTTCAAATATATTATCTCTTAGTTGATTCAATTAAGGCTTTCGATTTCGCGATGTCCAACAAACGTTTGGTACTTATAAAAATAGCATTTCAATGCTGCACAGGAATCATGTTTTAAAAATAGTTATATCGCATTCCTCCTTGCGTCTTATGATCATTCGAGCGTGCATTTCGTTAATCACACGTTTTAAAACAAACATTCTTTTAGAAGCCTTTCAACAATTTTCATTTTCATATTCCATATTTTTTTCAAATCGTCAGATGTGATTCCATATCATATCTGCTGCACTCAGCCCGTTTTCTTGGAAATAATTCGAAAAGGATTAAACTTTTTAAACTTTTCTTTTAATGGACTGTATACAGCGGTGCATGTATGAATTTGGGGGACGTGTTATTTTATCTCACTCGTACTAAATTCGTGTTTAAATTAAATCTGTACATGTATAAAATAGTGGGTTAAAATCTTGCTTGTTAGGCCAGACACACTGGGTGATGCTACACGTGGCGCGTGACATTTTCTCGAAAACACGCGAAAAAGCCAAGACGTCTTCAGCTAAATTTTATTTAGAACGCGTGCTTTCTTTATGTAAACAGAGTTTAACGTATTAAAACATGTTAACTCGAAAAACATGGGCGTGTAACGGGAAATCATCTAAACACGCTTGCTTGGTGCTGTGTAAATGTGTACCGTGTAGATGCTGTTCGCTGTACTAAGAAACTGTTCGCTGTTCAAAGCGGTTCCCTTCATTTGACAAATTGCTTCGTGCGCTGTGAGCTTTTAGGAAAAAAGGCGTGTTTTTCAAAGTAATGAATTAACATTGACCTCACCTGGCTTGGCCCTGAAAAAGCCAAGTGCAGTTTGTGGGCATTAATGTGCGGTGCGGAAAATATTAGAACTGCGCATTAAATTTTTAGACAGACACTGCACTCAGACACACATTATATTCTATTATATAGTATTAAAAGACATTTTCAAGAAAATTCAGACAATACAAAAAGTGTTTGTATTGGAATTAATTATTGGACTTATATACTTTTGCATTTTTTGCATATTAGGTTCGCTCAATATGCAGTCCAGGATATAACCAGGGACATGTCTTTTATGGACACAAACGTACACATGCTTTAAGTACCAGTCAGTTTTGGTTCCTAGTGGTTTGATAGTATAAATATGGTAGGACCTATGGGTTAGTATGTTCAGTTAACTATAGAAACCATTGGAATGTATAAGCATCTCATTTCAACTAATTAACATATTCACTACTCTACATTTGCCTTTTTACAGAGGAAAAAGACATGATGCAAGAATATTTGTTGAATCAGGACTTTACCAACAGTTGCAAGCACACTCTTTTGATGCTACTGGCAAGCCGTTATGTATGTGTAGAGAGACATACCCTGTCACACAGCATGTGCAAGGATCTTTTAAAGGGGCACACTTGACCATGGAACAACAAGCTTTCAACATATCCATGAGCAAAGTGCAAATTGCTGTAGAGTGGCAATTTGGTAGGATTAACTTGATTAACTGACACCAAGGATTAACTGTGTATGAACAACAAATTAACAATGTAATTTTAATTATATGCTTGTTTTAAAACAATGTAACAAACATTTGCAAAATATTTACATTTTTTGAACCACTACCATTTTGAATCTCTCAAAACTCATAAAAAATGTAGCTGTATCTGTGAGTTTTGGACTTGCATTTGTGTTGGCATTTTCTGCTGTTGTTCATAAAAACCTTGTTTTTGATTCTCAACCTGAATCCGCATGAATTCTTTTTGCGATTCCCTTGCTTGTCTTTCTGTTGTACAAGAAGCATAGATTCCAGCTGTTGCTGCTTGTCCACAACATGATTGAACATTTCGTGTCTTTCATTTCGTTTTTTGCTTCAAGACACTTTTCCTCCAAAGCTATTCGCTTTACTTCCAATTCATTTTCAGCTTTCCTACCTTCTTCTATGATCTCTTTGAGTACAGTGCTCTCTCTTTTCATCTGTTTGGGATTTTTTCATTCTTTTCATTGCCTGTGTCCTTATATCTGTGATTATAAGTTTTTCTTCATTTTCTATCTTTTGCTTTTCGTTAGCTTGTGTTGCCAGCTCTGCAGTTGCATCAGTATATTTTTCAAAGGTATCATAAAAAAATTGATCAAGCTCATCATACTCATCATCAATTCCTGAAGCAGCCAATTCCTGTTTATCCTTCTTTACAAACTCATCCATGAATTTTTCATACTGTGTGCGCACACTTCGTTGTGTCACATTTAAAAACCCAGAATGAGGCATTTGATTTAAGGTATTGGCAATTTTGCTCGACACATCACCCCTTTCTTTTAATCCTTTCTTGAAACGGTAAGGTTGATGAACCAAGACTTCTTTCAAAAGCAGAATGCTATGATCACGTTTCCATCGAAAAGGTTTTTTGATTGGTGCTGTTCTAGATGCTAGAAAAACCATCATCAGTTACTATCATATAAGATTTATGCACAGCAGAATGATGAAATAAAAATCGTATTTCACTGTGCAAATTAATTTCATGCAATTTGATTGGACGTACGATATTTTTCACGTGTGAAAAAATGCCATACACGGCTTTTGATTGGACGTACGATATTCTTCACACGTGAAAAATTGTCGTATGTCATTTTGGCGGCAATTTGTTTAAATTTTCTTTCAAGATGGTGTTGAAATATAGGAGTGAGATTCAAAACATAATTCTCATATTCAAGATATTTTTACATTCAGCACATTCTCAAATCTTTCGGAAAGAATGTCTAACTTCTATTGAACAAAATTACAAAGAAACTGAACGGTAATAAATATGTTTTCATGCATAAAGTTTCCATTTTGTTGCTCGCTGTGTTTTTGTATATTAAAAGCGTGTCGTTATCAAATTGATCTCTATACACATTTAATAAACAAATTACTTCATGGTTGGCTCGTTTGTACGATTTTTATTATGCACTCGTTGCGAAGGATCGCAAACTCACTTGTTCGCTGCGCTCACTCGTTCGTATTGCGATCCTTCACAAAATAGCCATTTATCCCTTCGCTTAGCTCTAAAAAATTGGCTAAATCTTTAGTTGTTCGTGCATTTCCGAAAATAAGCGGTATTTTTTTGCCCAAAAGATCGCAAATATTCACAAACTGATTCAACAGTAATGGCGGATAATAGTTTCCGACGGTTCGCGAATTTTTGAGTCCTCGGAAGATATCGTAGTTACGTCACATTCTTACTATCTATCTATCTATCTTACACAGACGATGACATAAAGGATTTTGCATAATGAGCAAATCCTTAAAAAATTACAACACATTTCAGGAAGAAGAAATTGAATGAACCGTATGATATCGATGTTTAACATCTGGGCTCCAGGTGAATATAAAAATAAATATTGAATTCGGTTTTCACCTGATTTTGAGAATTATCAAGAAATTCTAATAAATTTTCATTATCACGCTAAACCTCATACAATAATTATTGATTACTCGCCGCAAATTGAATTTCTTGAAACAAGGAGATCTTTAATGATGCCGATTACCTTTACCAATATAGCAATCTCAGGATGGTTCGGTCCTAATTGCTCGGATTGAATTTTCAGCGCCCGTTGATAATAATCATAAGCATGATCAAAAGCACCTTTTTGGCTACACACATATCCTAAGATGGTGTATGACTTGGCCACGTCAGTATTGCTCGGTCCTAATAGCTCTAATTGGATTTTCAGCGCCCGTTCACAATACACTTGAGCCTGATCACAATCACCTTTTCGGATACACACATTATTCAAGAGGTTGTATGAAATGGCAACGTCAGTATGATTCGGTCCTAATTGTTCCAATTGTATTTTTTGCGCCCGTTGACAATATTCATTTGCCTGATCAAGATCACCTTTTTCGAGATATACATTGCCCAGGTTGTTGTATGAAGTGGCAACGACAGTATGACTCGGTCCAAATTGTTCCAATTGAATTTTTAGCGCCCGTTGACAATATTCATTAGCCTGATCAAGATTACCTTTTCTGCTACACACATTACTCAGGTTGTTGTATAAAATCGCAACGTTACTATGATACGGTCCTATATGTTCCAATAGAATTTTTAGTGCTCGTTGAAAATATTCATTAGCTTGATCAAGATCACCTTTTCTGCTACACACATCACCTAGGTTGTGGTATGCAGTAGCCACGTCAGCATGGTTCGGTCCTAATTGCTCTAATTGCATTTTCATCGCCTGTTGAAAATAAGCATTAGCCTGATCAAGATCACCTTTTCGGGTACACACAAGACCAAGGTTGTTGTACGAAGCAGCAACGTCAGTATGATTTGGACCTAATTGATCAAATCGAATTTTCAGTGCCCTTTGAAAATAATCATTAGCCTGATCAAGATCATCTTTTTTGAAATACACATTGCCCAGGTTGTTGTATGAAGCAGCAACATCAGTATGGTCTGGTCCTAAATGCTCTTTTTGAATTTTCAGCGCTCTTTGATAATAATCATCAGCATGGTCCAAGTCACCCTGATCATTACACAACACACCCAGGCTATTGTATGAAGCAGCAACATCTGTATGCTTTGGTCCTAATTGCTTTATTCGAATTCCCAACGCTCGTTGATGATACTCATTAGCATGAAGGAAATCGCCCTTAACATTGCACAACACTCCCAGGTTGTAGTATGAAATAGCCACTTCAACATGGTTTGGTCCTAATTGATGTAATCGAAATTTCAACGCCCGTTGATAATAATCATTAGCCTGATCAAGATCACCTATTTCTTTACACACATTAGCCAGGCTGTTGTATGAACCAGCAACTTCAGTGTGGTTCGGCCCCAACTGTTCTAATTCAATTTTCAGCCCCCGTTGACAATAATCATTAGCATGATCTAAATTACCTTTATCAGTACACAACACACCAAGGGCGGCGTATGACTTGGCGACTTCAGCATGATTCGGTCCTAATTGCTGTAATCGAATTTTCAGTGCGCGTTGATAATATACATTAGCCTTATCAAAATCACCTTTATCGCTACACAACACACCAATGTTACTGTATAAAGTTGCTACGTCTGTGTGATTCGGACCAAGGTGATTTAATTGAATTTTTAGTGCCAGTTGTAGAAATTCCATCGACAGCTCATACTGACAAAAGCGATAAAGTGTGCTCCCCAAAGATATATACATTTGAGAAATGTCAGCTTTTTCGAAACGTAAGCTTAATAAGTATAATGCTTCATCGGGAAATGAATATTGTCAATAATTTCTTTGTGAAATGCTTTCAAATGCGGAATAGATTTGATTTTATCTTCTCTTTCACTAAAGTAACTCATTATTTTGACAACCCTGTAAATGTGAGTTATATTTTCTTCCTCGCTTGTACTTTTGTTTTCCGTATTATCTTTTTTAGATTTATCGAAAAGACAAAATGTTTTGACGGCTTCATGAACAACACGATGTAGGCGGACATCACCATTGCTACCATCCTGAACAAACAGCGAAGAGAGTTTTATTGCTGTAATGACGTCCTCCGCATCTACCTCCTGTTGCTCCTGAATATATTTTACAACAAGATCAAGTGGTGATGGTTCAAAAGATATCAGAGAGAAAAGGTTGAAAGCGTGTTCCAGGATTGTGTTATTCTCTGCACATTTTCTAACCGCTAGCAACACTGCCGTGCTCATTGTGGAGGAATATGCCGCTGAATTCATTTGCCGAAGACGTTCCTCGGTTAAACCCCTTTTACCCTTCTCAAGTTTTCGTAAATAATCTCGCCAAGAAAAATCTGAGCAACTATTGGTTATTTCTCTCATATACACGGCTGCCGCGGCCATTGCCAGTGGTTGACGATCCAACTTCTCCGCCATCTCATCTAGTAATGGGTCATTGACTTCGGTACACGATAATAGAACAAGCAGCTGGCGACACTCTTGGTCATTCATTCCATGAATAAGTGAGATATGCTTAGTTGAGGTGCTGTCTTGTGGGACAGCATTTGTGTTTTGTGTTGTTAATATAACTTGGCCGTTGTTCCAAACTTCGTCTCCCTTCAAAGGCAGTAGTGGGGATATGAGTTCTAGATTTTCCACATTGTCAACGATGATCCACCACTTTTTTCAATTTTTTATTCTGCAAGATATTTGCGATCTTAAATCTTTTATTTTTTCTTCTTTAGGTTTAGATGAACTTGAAACACTTTGCAATGCGCTCTCGTTACAATTCAGCCGACGACAAAAATCTTTATATGAATGAAGAAGAGAATCTAAATCTTTTCCGTTCAATGTCATTACAAACATTGCCTCGTCTTTCCCATGAACATCTTTGCAAATATCTTCACAAACTTGTCTGGCGAGTTGAGATTTTCCACTGCCTGGATTCCCAGAGATGTACAAATATGTAAGTTTGCCATCGTTATGACTGCGCAACTTTTCAAGGTATTCTCTTATCTCGTGTATCTTGTCAGAACGGTAAACGACTTCATGGGCTGGTTCAGAGGGAAGAATTATAAATGACGCAAACAGGTTTTTTATTCGAACGACTTCGTTGATTGACAGTCCCAATGCACCCAATGCATTCTCAACTTCTGTTGTCATGGTTTGAATGTCTTTATTAGTTAGCGTTTTGTCAGGTACATTATGAGTTATTTCATTTCGCAGTTTTCGAAGAGTGTCGATTTCAGTCTTTTCTGTTGTACTAAGACTACAACCGATTGAGTTGGAATAAAGAATTTTATCAAAAAGTACGGTACAATCCCATTCATTTGTATTTCCATTTTGAAATTTGGACTGAAGCATGGTCTTATTTGGTCTTGTTCGTTTTTTCTCCAGATTAAACAACTGACTACCACTGACGTTGGTGTCATCCCATGCTCCAAGAGAAGCCTGGTAACGTTTGTTCCATTCATGAATAAATAAATTCCTCAACTCCTTTCTTACAGCATCAGTGAGAATTCATTCCGCTCGAATGTAGTTTTGACTTTCCTCGCTTTCCCACGGTAGACCAGACATTGCTGATCCTAGAAATTAATTTAAACGTTTTAAAGAGCGAATTTGAGAAGTCTTTATGAAAATGTAGCCTTGTTTAAAAAAACGCATACAGAAACAAAAAAAAAATTCGAAAGGCCTCCATAGCAATCCATAGGCCTCCATAGGCATCCATAGCCATCCATAGGCCTCCAAAGGCAATCCATAGCTATCCATATGCCTCCATGGCTCTCCATAGCCATCGCATACAGAAACAAAAAAAAAATTCGAATTTCCAACTAAATAGGACTCAGGTAGTCCACTCTTCATTACTCTTTATTGAGAGAGTTTTGCCATATTTGCTATAACAATATAGATGGATTCTACTGCGAAATATTACCCGCGCGAAATCAAGTACCGAGTGAAAACTTGGAATAGACGATTCTTTTATTAAACATTCGAAGCGCTTTGCATTATAGTTATCGCGGTATCATAAATATTCAAGATAACGGCTTTGAAAGAAATTAATCAAAATATTGTCAATATTTACATCTAGTTGTGTAGCGTTAACTTGAGTTTAATAAACCAGACTTATTTTTCGACGACAGTTACCTTATCGTTATCGATATAAATATGGTTTTGTTCATACTGCTGTCCATAATGTCGTGCTCTGACTGGGAGACCTTTCCCGAACCGGGCCAGGTGTGTGGTGGCTAACTCCGGCCTGCCCTTCGTGCTGGCATTATCCTCTCTGTCTTTTTATCCCTCAGACGTTCCTGAATATCATCATCATATATACTTGTCATCAGCATGATGAGCTGACCGCAGTATGTAAGGGACTCCAAATACCAAGCATAAACTTAGAAGTTCTTGGATGCCTTAGAGCAGATAATCTTTTCTATATGCCTGACTTATTTGAGACATGTGGGAATCACATCATCGAGGTAATTGCTCATCGGCATTGCGCAAAAGTTGAAGTCGAGGCATATGGAGCGTGCATTGTTAGAAGATGAACGATAAAAACAAAAAACGGCTCTTTTAAGAGCCATCAAATCCATAAAAGATGTGAATGAAATATCGAGATAAACATATAAAATCACCCAATCATAGCAAACACTACATTTACAATCGCTAACACCGATTCGCCCAAAGTACCTTTTACAAACACGATATTATGAAATGTGAAAATAACGTGTACATTTGGTGTGACGTCATTGTACGCTAATATACACCACACATGTTCACGTGAAACTATTGTGTATTCCCACATGATGTTCGCGTGGCAACCTACTGTGACGTCAATGGCGGCATCCCTTTCATCCGTATATGGGGGGGGGGGGGATAATCTACCGCCAAAGCCACATTCAAAACAGCTAATCTTGTATTTTAATCATTTGGATTACCTTTCGATGCAATTACATACTATATATACATAATTCAAAATTCCTGTTCCGTAGATTAGCATATTCCTGCAGTAAAGCTAATTTGCATAATAACGGTGCTTATGCGAAATATCAATTTCGTAAAAAGGGCCGAAAGAGTCAATTAATTAATCCGTAGCCTTTTCCCTGTAGGAACACTGGGGCTGATTGCACGAAGGCTGGATAGCGCTACCCACAGAATTGTGATTTTTTCAACCGTTCTAAAAATGCTTGAAAAGCAATAAAATTTCATCTTTGGGACGAAAAATTATTAAAGAGAATCCTCAATTTAAGAATGCTAACATTTTATCAAAGTTATATGCAACAACAGGAGATTTTAAAAGCATGTGAAAAAGCCACTATCCGGTGGATAGTGTTATCCAACTTTCGTACAACCAGGTCATATATAATGTTTTGTTGTTGTTTTTTTGGGCACATGATTGTGTCTGTTTTGTTACAACGTATAAACCTTTTAATAAATGTTTGGAAGGGGTTTTAAACAATATTTGAATTTCGAACGTTTGAATGATGGAAATTAGTCATATGGTGTTTTTGAATATCGTGTTCAATGTCGTGTTGAATGCGGTGCGCACTTAACAGTGGTATGTGACTCGAAACCAAAATAATCAACACAATATATATCAAATATGAACCTCGATTTTATTTCATGTTCTACCAGGATGGAATTGTTCTATTACCCAATGTGTTCCTTGCAAATGGTCTCAAGATATCATTTTGATGTTTGAATGATTATATATAATCATTATATAGATAACTTAGAAATACCCAGACTCACTCTGCTGTTTTGTCTGATAATTTCAAAATGAAACGAATATCGCACACGGATTTCGGATTTCCCCTTTGTTATTTGTAGAAGTTTTGTAGGCTGCCGGTTATACTATACAGAAAATGTCGAGTATGATTTCAAGTGTGATTTTACGTTTGATGCCTTCACATTTTGAGGCCGTGTATGCGATAGCTGTCTCTAAATTCTAATCAAATGGTCGACAAACACTATCGCACTATGCTTAACACAACTCCCTCAATTTTGATAAATTTATGGACAGTTTTCCGCCAGGAGGGAGAGAACTCGGATTATAGAAATTATTTCCCATCGATTAAGTCGTAAAATATATGTATATATATACGATCACTAGGTAAAAGTAAAACGGCAAATTTAGCACAATGAAATTTAACAATTTCATGACCAAAACAATGAACACAATATATCAAATACGAACCTCGAGTCTATTTCATCATAGAAACGATGGAATTGTTCTGTTACCCAAAGTATTTCTATCAACGACACAGTTTTGAATGATTACTCAGAAATCAAGAGCCGATGAGCCAGTCTTCACCGTCTAGTCATTTCAAGACGAAATTAATTCGCATAAGGATTTATCCTTTGATATTTGATATCCTATTTTCAAGTATATTGTAACATTTTAGTGATTTTACGTCAGATTAAACAATCATCATCATCTTCTAATATAGGGCCTAGGCCTATTGCGCCAATGAGGCGCACAGGGCCAGTGGAGATTAAACAATGACAGGGTAATATCCTGCAGGATGCTGGATTTCTAAATCGTTATATCGTTTTAGTTCTAGCTTTGGTTCTAGTCATTCAGATAAACGATTTATTGATGTCTTACCATAAGAATTGAAGCCGAATGCACCTCGGTAATTTCATTATTGCATTATTGCAATAGTCTTAAAGGGGGGGGGGGGGGTTCAACGGGTAAATTAAGCTAGCGCACAACGTTATCTCAACGTTATCTAAAGGTTGTATTTAGGTTAAGTCATGACTGGACTTTATTTAAAGATCATAGGTTTCATTATTAGCAACGACCTGAAGTGGAATTGCCACGTAGAATACATTGTTAAAAAGCTAGTAGGAAGTTGTATTCTTTAAGAATTTGCGAAGAGCTGGGGTCTGACGAGGCAGTCTTGTATGAAAGCATAATTTTTAAAAAGTCTGTCTATGAGAAGGATATTAAAACAATAATAAGCGTAAAAGAGCACAACTGCCCAATGGAGTGTATAACCTACCCCAGATTTTGCTAAAGTAATGCAACGAACTGAAATCAAGAAATTAGCAAGTAGTTTGAAGTCTCGTCGGGTGGAAAGCTATTTAGGACGGTTGCTAGAGTCAAATGATTGTAAGCCATATGCATTTGAGGCTGCCCACCAGAATCTTCAATACTAAAAAGAGACACACTGAATCCTTCACTATGAATCTTAATGACACTGCTATCCGTGATGAAGTTTTAGATCATTTACAGTCCATTTCAGTTTAATCATTTAATAGCTGCAGTGATCCAGTAAAGGAATTAAAGCATGTTGCAAATATTACACACTCAGAAGTACTCCAAATTGGATTAATCTTTCACAGTGGGAAATGGTTTGAGGAGCGCAATAAGAGACTCACAACATCAAATTTAGGTGTAGTAGTTAATTGAAGAAAACAATTTTCCCAGCACCGATGCTTAACAAAATTAATTAAAAACCAGTTAAAACAGGCTAAACGTCGTGAACCCTACCAATGGGGAAAATATAAGGAAGAAAAGGCTATTACAGAATGCTTGTTAAGTGACAAGTGTCCTTTCTCAAAAAAGGATGCTTGCATAGAGGAAGCATGCAAAGACAAGAACCTTTTCTCGGGCATAAGTAATGGAAAAGTCCAACTGAAAAAGACACACAACTATTTCTATCAAATCCAAGAGAGCATGGCAACACTGAATGTGAGTTGGTGCAACGTTGTCGTTTTTACCAATAATGATTTACAATAAATTCTTATAACAAATATTGAGAATAAAAACATTGTTGAAACGAATTCTCTCAACATGTAAATTTTACATGTCGCAAATTTCTGGTAATGCTACCTGCGTATCAGCTGGAAACAAAACTTGGATACCCATTTGGTGAAATTCCAATCAAACCCTTGGCAGTGTTATAATTCTTATAGCTGGAAAATGTGATAGACTGGCTTCTGCATGATGATAGTGTTTCAATGAAAAACTCAGTACAATCAATAATATTCCTGGTGTTAAGACTTTCTTAAAGCATGAAGGCATGTAATCTTGAATGGATTTACGGCTGGGCCAAATTGGGAGGGTGCGGAAGCATTAACTGATGCATGAAGGGAATCCAGGTTTTAAAAATATGAGAAACACTGCTTGTCGAGATCTTAAATCTACGAGCAATATCTTGTAAAAGTAAGCCCAAACGTAACCTTGTCAGCACACAGAATAATCCCTATTCAGGGGACATTGATCTTTGTTTACCACAATTTGTTTGCGATACTAAAGTTATAGGAGCAGTGTTGGAACCATGATACACAAGGTGTTCACAGGCAGGAGAAACGTACTCATAAAAAGCTTTAAAACTTGCTATGAATCTTTCTAATCGGAAAGCACTTAATTGTACTTTTTTGATATCTTCTTCATGCTGTTTTTGTTGCTTCTTAATTGTTTTTTTAGTATCCTCAACCTCAACACCTGTAGAATTAATTAATCTCGCTAGTGACTGCATGCATCATCTCTTATTTCTTTACTAGTTTAACTTGATGAACATTGTGAATAATTATCATTGTCCACTGTTACTCTGCATTGGGCCTTTTCTTTGTTTACTTCTTGTTGCAAATATTGTTGGAATGTTGTTAGTATGTCTTTTTCCCTCCCACATTATGCATTGAACACACCGTATGGCTGGAACTGGGATCTCTTACACTATTACCATTTTTTTTTAAAAGTGTTACCCCCTTTTTCTTTTAATATCAGGATTCTTTGGAATCTGATGAAAAGACAGTTCAGGGTAAATTCGAGCACAAATGCGACAGAGGTTGTCAATTTCACGAGGCCTCAAATACCATTTTAATGCGCGAACATACAAAACAACTGTGTGATCGAATGCAAGGAAATATCCGAGCATCATATTTTAAAAAAAAAATTTCAGCCAATCGCATAATGAAAGGCCGACTCACGACCTGCTTTTGTTGCGGAGATCTAAATTTCACCTAGTAAATTCTGCAAAATATGTTTTCAAAGCATGTCACTCTCGGAGTAATTTCTCGGCTGATAATAGATAGAAACTCCATAAAATCACTCAGAATATAGAGAGCAGTGCCCTTTGCAGATAAAAAAGAATCTCGATTGAAGCAATAAATAGTCTAAAAACTGCCATATATTCCTCTGAAGGAAATCGCCCCCTCCAGCGGCCATTTCGTTCGAAAGCAACCTACAACCTCCTACCATAATGCTTAGGAGCGCGAAATTTATAATTCAAGTTGTCTATTTGCTGATCTTGCTAAGGCGTTTGATTTATTCCACCACAATATAATCATCTAAGAACTTGTTAATCTAAATATTTACTCAGTGTTCATACGTTGGATTAAATCCTTTCTTATGAATAGAGAACAGTGCCCGAGGATTAATAATCTACGTCCCTCACGCCTCATAGCGTTCCTCGAGAAAAAGCTTGGGCCCATACTCTTTGCTGTTTTGGTAAGTGGTAAACCCGCTGATGAGAAACTGACAAAGACAAATTAGGTTTGTGGATGAGGCCACCGCTGTTAAAATCATTGGCCATTGCGTGTCCACCTAGCGTTCTGCCTCTAGTTGTGGATGAAATTAGTACGCATCAAACAACTAAATTCACAAGTAATAACTTTGTCATAAGCAGTTTATTGAAAATAATTATTATTTTTATTATTATTATTATTTACGCTAAGACGGCTGGAATAATTTTGTACATGTTATAACTGTTGCAACCCTTCGAGATTTGAACCAACATTTTGCACACATTTTGCGAGAATTAAAGAAAGTGCTTGAAACTAAACGCAGTTCAAGGAACGTTTAAAGCATATACATGACTTTGGAAAGAGATCGCTTTTTTACCAGTGGCGTAGCCAGCCTGACGATTTAGTCATGCAATGTAAATTTTATGTTATTATCATTATTGATTTCTTCAGAAATTCATTGTTTTCACAGTCAATGAACACCAAAATATTAGCATATAGCATGACTAAATTGTCAGGCTGGCTACGCTACTGTTTTTAACTACATTTTATTTTAGGCATTTTTAAATATTTCCCGTCAATTTCCGAGACTATCTGATAGGCTCTGATATGTGGAAAATACTTCGCTATCCATATTTTTAATTTTAAAAGCCTTATCATTATGATATAATTCCACCCCTATTTCTACCAATCGCTGCATGAAAACATCTAATTCGTAAAAGAATTAGCTGAATGTCACCAAATATTGCTACGAAATGAAGCAAGTGATATCATCATTTACGATAGCTACACAAATATCGCTTCGTCATTTCTACAAAAAGCAGTTTGTAAAATTGGTGACACGAGAAAAAGCCGGTATATTTTAAAAATTAAATAATGGCATAGTTTGGCGCAGTTTAGAAAAAAATTACAACCCATTTCAGGAAGAAGAAATTGAATGAACCTGATGATATCGATATTTAACATCTGGGCTCCAGGTGAATTTAGAAATAAATATTGAATTCGATCTTCACCTGATTTTGAGAATTATCAGAAATTCTAATAAATCTTTATTATCACGCTAAACGTCATACAATAATTATTGAAGGAGATCTTTAATCATGGCGATCACCTTTACCAACTTAGCAATCTCAGGATGGTTCGGTCCTAAATGCTCGGATTGAATTGTCAGCGCCCGTTGCTAATAATCATAAGCTTGATCAAAAGCACCATTCTGGCTACACACATGACCCAGGCTGGTGTATGACTTGGCCACGTCAGTATTGTTCGGTCCTAATTGCTCTAATTGGATTTTCAGTGCCCGTTCACAATAAACCTGAGCCTAATTACAATCACCTTTTCGGCTACACACATTACTCAGGAGCTTGTATGAAGTGGCAAGGTCAGTATAATTCGGTCCTAATTGTTCCAATCGAATTTTTAGCGCCCGTTGACAATATTCATTTGCCTGATCAAGATCACCTTTTTTGAGATTTACATTACTCAGGTTGTTGTATAAACTCGCAACGTTAGTATGATTCGGTCCTAATTGTTCCAATTGAATTTTTAGCGCTTGTTGAAAATATTCATTAGCCTGATCAAGATCACCTTTTCTGCTACACGCATTGCCCAGGCTGTTGTATGAAGTGGCAACGTCAGTATGATTCGGTCCTAATTGTTCCAATTGGATTTTTAGCGCCCGTTGATAATATTCATTAGCCTGATCAAGATCACCTTTTCTGCTACACACATTGCCCAGGTTGTAGTATGAAGTGGCAACGTCAGTATGATTCGGTCCTAATTGTTCCAATTGAATTTTTGCGCCCGTTGATAATATTCATTAGCCTGATCAAGATCACCTTTTCTGCTACACACATTGCCCAGGCTGTTGTATGAAGTGGCAACGTCAGTATGATTCGGTCCTAATTGTTCCAATTGAATTTTTAGCGCCCGTTGACAATATTCATTAGCCTGATCAAGATCACCTTTTCTTTTACACACATTACTCAGGTTGTTGTATAAACTCGCAACGTTAGTATGATTCGGTCCTAATTGTTCCAATTGAATTTTTAGCGCCCGTTGATAATATTCATTAGCCTGATCAAGATCACCTTTCTGCTACACACAATGCCTAGGTTGTAGTATGAAGTGGCAACGTCAGTATGATTCGGTCCTAATTGTTCCAATTGAATTTTTAGCGCCCGTTGATAATATTCATTAGCCTGATCAAGATCACCTTTTCTGCTACACACAATGCCCAGGTTGTTGTATGAAGTGGCAACGTTAGTATGATTCGGTCCTAATTGTTCGAATTGAATTTTTAGCGCCCGTTGAAAATTCGTTAGCCTGGAAGATCACCTTTCTGCTACACACATTACTCAGGTTGTTGTATAACTGCAACGTCAGTATGATTCGGTCTTAATTGTTCCAATTTAATTTTTAGCGCTTGTTGATAATATTCATTAGCCTGATCAAGATCACCTTTTCTGCTAAAAACAATGCCCAGGTTGTTGTATGAAGTGGCAACGTCAGTATGATTCGGTCCTAATTGTTCCAATTTAATTTTTAGCGCCCGTTGATAATATTCGTTAGCCTGGTCAAGATCACCTTTTTTGCTACACACATTGCCCAGGCTGTGGTATGAAGTGGCAACGTCAGTATGATTCGGTCCTAATTGTTCCAATTGAATTTTTAGCGCCCGTTGATAATATTCATTAGCCTGATCAAGATCACCTTGTCTGCTACACACATGCCCAGGTATTGTATGAAGTGGCAACGTTAGTATGATTCGGTCCTAATTGTTCCAATTGAATTTTTAGCGCCCGTTGATAATATTCGTTAGCCTGATCAAGATCACCTTTTCTGCTACAAACGTTGCCCAGGCTGTTGTATGAAGTGGCAACGTCAGTATGATTCGGTCCTAATTGTTCCAATTTAATTTTTAGCGCCCGTTGATAATATTCGTTAGCCTGATCAAAATCACCTTTATTGCTACACACATTGCCCAGGTTGTTGTATGAAGCGGCAACGTCAGTATGATTTGGTCCTAATTGTTCCAATTGAATTTTTAGCGCCCGTTGATAATATTCGTTAGCCTGATCAAAATCACCTTTACTGCTACAAACATTGCCCAGGCTGTTGTATGAAGTGGCAACGTCAGTATGATTCGGTCCTAATTGTTCCAATTGAATTTTTAGCGCCCGTTGATAATATTCATTAGCCTGATCAAGATCACCTTTTCTGCTACACACATTGCCCAGGCTGTTGTATGAAATGGCAACGTCAGTATGATTCGGTTCTAATTGTTCCAATTTAATTTTTAGCGCCTGTTGACAATATTCATTAGCCTGATCAAGATCACCTTTTCTGCTACACACTTTGCTCAGGTTGTTGTATAAACTCGCAACGTCAGTATGATTCGGTCCTAATTGTTCCAATTTAATTTTTAGCGCCCGTTGATAATATTCATTAGCCTGATCAAAATCACCTTTACTGCTACACACATTGCCCAGGTTGTTGTATGAAGTGGCAACGTCAGTATGATTCGGTCCTAATTGTTCCAATTGAATTTTTAGCGCCCGTTGATAATATTCGTTAGCCTGATCAAGATCACCTTTTCTGCTACACACATTGCCCAGGCTGTTGTATGAAGTGGCAACGTCAGTATGATTCGGTCCTAATTGTTCCAATTTAATTTTTAGCGCCCGTTGAAAATATTCATTAGCTTGATCAAGATCACCTTTTCTGCTACATACATTGCCCAGGCTGTGGTATGAAGTGGCAACGTCAGTATGATTCGGTCCTAATTGTTCCAATTGAATTTTTAGCGCCCGTTGATAATATTCATTAGCCTGATAGAGATCACCTTTTCTGCTACACACAATGCCCAGGTTGTTGTATGAAGTGGCAACGTTAGTATGATTCGGTCCTAATTGTTCCAATTGAATTTTTAGCGCCCGTTGATAATATTCATTAGCCTGATCAAGATCACCTTTTCTGCTACACACATTGCCTAGGTTGTTGTATGAAGTGGCAACGTCAGTATGATTCGGTCCTAATTGTTCCAATTTAATTTTTAGCGCCCGTTGATAATATTCATTAGCCTGATCAAAATCACCTTTACTGCTACACACATTGCCTAGGTTGTTGTATGAAGTGGCAACGTCAGTATGATTTGGTCCTAATTGTTCCAATTGAATTTTTAGCGCCCGTTGATAATATTCGTTAGCCTGATCAAAATCACCTTTACTGCTACAAACATTGCCCAGGCTGTTGTATGAAGTGGCAACGTCAGTATGATTCGGTCCTAATTGTTCCAATTGAATTTTTAGCGCCCGTTGATAATATTCATTAGCCTGATCAAGATCACCTTTTCTGCTACACACATTGCCCAGGTTGTTGTATGAAGTGGCAACGTCAGTATGATTTGGTCCTAATTGTTCCAATTGAATTTTTAGCGCCCGTTGATAATATTCGTTAGCCTGATCAAATCACCTTTACTGCTACAAACATTGCCCAGGCTGTTGTATGAAGTGCAACGTCAGTATGATTCGGTCCTAATTGTTCCAATTGAATTTTTAGCGCCCGTTGATAATATTCATTAGCCTGATCAAGATCACCTTTTCTGCTACACACATTGCCCAGGCTGTTGTATGAAATGGCAACGTCAGTATGATTCGGTTCTAATTGTTCCAATTTAATTTTTAGCGCCTGTTGACAATATTCATTAGCCTGATCAAGATAACCTTTTCTGCTACACACATTGCTCAGGTTGTTGTATAAACTCGCAACGTCAGTATGATTCGGTCTTAATTGTTCCAATTTAATTTTTAGCGCTTGTTGATAATATTCATTAGCCTGATCAAGATCACCTTTTCTGCTACAAACGTTGCCCAGGCTGTTGTATGAAGTGGCAACGTCAGTATGATTCGGTCCTAATTGTTCCAATTTAATTTTTAGCGCCCGTTGATAATATTCACTAGCCTGATCAAAATCACCTTTACTGCTACACACATTGCCCAGGTTGTTGTATGAAGTGGCAACGTCAGTATGATTCGGTCCTAATTGTTCAAATTGAATTTTTAGCGCCCGTTTATAATATTCGTTAGCCTGATCAAGATCACATTTTCTGCTACACACATTGCCCAGGCTGTTGTATGAAGTGGCAACGTCAGTATGATTCGGTCCTAATTGTTGCAATTTAATTTTTAGCGCCCGTTGAAAATATTCATTAGCTTGATCAAGATCACCTTTTCTGCTACATACATTGCCCAGGCTGTTGTATGAAATGGCAACGTCAGTATGATTCGGTCCTAATTGTTCCAATTTAATTTTTAGCGCCGGTTGACAATATTCATTAGCCTGATCAAGATCACCTTTTCTGCTACACACATTACTCAGGTTGTTGTATAAACTCGCAACGTCAGTATGATTCGGTCTTAATTGTTCCAATTTAATTTTTAGCGCTTGTTGATAATATTCATTAGCCTGATCAAGATCACCTTTTCTGCTACACACAATGCCCAGGTTGTTGTATGAAGTGGCAACGTCAGTATGATTCGGTCCTAATTGTTCCAATTGAATTTTTAGCGCCCGTTGATAATATTCGTTAGCCTGGTCAAGATCACCTTTTCTGCTACACATAGCCCAGGCTGTGGTATGAAGTGGCAACGTCAGTATGATTCGGTCCTAATTGTTCCAATTGAATTTTTAGCGCCCGTTGATAATATTCATTAGCCTGATCAAGATCACCTTTTCTGCTACACACAATGCCCAGGTTGTTGTATGAAGTGGCAACGTTAGTATGATTCGGTCCTAATTGTTCCAATTGAATTTTTAGCGCCCGTTGATAATATTCGTTAGCCTGATCAAGATCACCTTTTCTGCTACACACATTGCCCAGGCTGTTGTATGAAGTGGCAACGTCAGTATGATTCGGTCCTAATTGTTCCAATTGAATTTTTAGCGCCCGTTGATAATATTCATTAGCCTGATCAAGATCACCTTGTCTGCTACACACAATGCCCAGGTTGTTGTATGAAGTGGCAACGTTAGTATGATTCGGTCCTAATTGTTCCAATTGAATTTTTAGCGCCCGTTGATAATATTCGTTAGCCTGATCAAGATCACCTTTTCTGCTACAAACGTTGCCCAGGCTGTTGTATGAAGTGGCAACGTCAGTATGATTCGGTCCTAATTGTTCCAATTTAATTTTTAGCGCCCGTTGATAATATTCGTTAGCCTGATCAAAATCACCTTTATTGCTACACACATTGCCCAGGTTGTTGTATGAAGCGGCAACGTCAGTATGATTTGGTCCTAATTGTTCCAATTGAATTTTTAGCGCCCGTTGATAATATTCGTTAGCCTGATCAAAATCACCTTTACTGCTACAAACATTGCCCAGGCTGTTGTATGAAGTGGCAACGTCAGTATGATTCGGTCCTAATTGTTCCAATTTAATTTTTAGCGCCCGTTGAAAATATTCATTAGCTTGATCAAGATCACCTTTTCTGCTACATACATTGCCCAGGCTGTTGTATGAAATGGCAACGTCAGTATGATTCGGTCCTAATTGTTCCAATTTAATTTTTAGCGCCTGTTGACAATATTCATTAGCTTGATCAAGATCACCTTTTCTGCTACACACATTACTCAGGTTGTTGTATAAACTCGCAACGTCAGTATGATTCGGTCCTAATTGTTCCAATTTAATTTTTAGCGCTTGTTGATAATATTCATTAGCCTGATCAAGATCACCTTTTCTGCTACACACAATGCCCAGGTTGTTGTATGAAGTGGCAACGTCAGTATGATTCGGTCCTAATTGTTCCAATTGAATTTTTAGCGCCCGTTGACAATATTCATTAGCCTGATCAAGATCACCTTTTCTTTTACACACATTGCCCAGGTTGTTGTATGAAGTGGCAACGTCAGTATGATTCGGTCCTAATTGTTCCAATTGAATTTTTAGCGCTTGTTGATAATATTCATTAGCCTGATCAAGATCACCTTTAACGCTACACAACACCCCCAGGTTACTGTATAAATTTGCTACGTATATGTGATTCGGACCATGGTGATTTAATTGAATTTTTAGTGCCAGTTGAAGAAATTCCATCGAAAGTTCATACTGACAAAAGCGATAAAGTGTGCTCCCCAAAGATAAATACATTTGAGAAATGTCAGCTTTTTCGAAACGTAAGCTTAATAAGTATAATGCTTGATCGGGAAAATGAATGTTGTCAATAATTTCTTTGTGAAATGCTTTCAAATGCGGAATAGATTTGATTTTATCTTCTCTTTCACTAAAGTAACTCATTATTTTGACAACCCTATAAATGTGAGTTATATTTTCTTCCTTGCTTGTACTTTTGTTTTCCGTATTATCTTTTTCAGATTTATCGAAAAGACAAAAGGTTTTGACGGCTTCATGAACAACACGATGTAGGCGGACATCACCATTGCTAGCATCCTGAACAAACAGCGAAGAGAGTTTTATTGCAGTAATGACATGCTCCGCATCTACCTCCTGTTGCTCCTGAATATATTTTACAACAAGATCAAGTGGTAATGGTTCAAAAGATATCAAAGAGAAAAGGTTGAAAGCATGTTCCAGGATTGTGTTATTTTCTGCACATTTTCTAACCGCTAGCAACACTGCCGTGCTCATGGTGGAGGAATATGCCGCGGAATTCATTTGCCGAAGACGTTCCTCCGTTAACCCTCTTTTACCGTTCTCAAGTTTTCGTAAATAATCTCGCCAAGAAAAATCTGGACAACTATTGGTTACTTCTCTCATATACACGGCTCCCGCAGCCATTGCTAGTGGTTGACGATCCAACTTCTCCGCCATCTCATCTAGTAATGGATCATTGACCTCCGTACACGATAATAGAACAAGCAGCTGGCGACACTCTTGGTCATTCATACCATGAATAAGTGAGATATGCTTAGTTGAGGTGCTGTCTTGTGGAACAGCATTTGTGTTTTGTGTTGTTAATATAACTTGGCCGTCCTTCCAAACTTCGTCTCCCTTCAAAGGCAGTAGTGGGGATATGAGTTCTAGATTTTCCACGTTGTCTACGATGATCCACCACTTTTTCCAATTTTTAATTCTGCAAGATATTTGCGATCTTAAATCTTTTATTTTCTCTTCTTCAGGTTTACATGAACTTGAAACAATTTGCAATGCGCTCTCGATACAATTCAGCCGACGACAAAAATCTTCATATGAATGAAGAAGAGAATCTAAATCTTTTCCGTTCAACGTCATTACAAACACTGCTTCGTCCTTGGCATGAATATCTTCACAAACTTGTCTGGCAAGTTGAGATTTTCCACTACCTGGATTCCCAGAGATGTACAAATATGTAAGTTTGCCATCGTTATCACTGCGCAACTTTTCAAGGCCTTCTCTTATCTCGTTTATCTCGTCAGAACGGTAAACGACTTCATGGGCTGGTTCAGGGGGAAGAATTATAAATGATGAAAACAAGGTTTTTATTCGAACGACCTCGTTGATTGACAGTCCCAATGCACCCAATGCATTCTCAACTTTTGTTGTCATGGTTTGAAAGTCTTTATTAGTTAGCGTTTTGTCAGGTACATTATGAGTTATTTCATTTCGCAGTTTTCGAAGAATATCGATTTCAGTCTTTTCTGTTGTACTAAGACTACAACCGATTGACTTGGAATAAAGAATTGCATCAAAAAGTACGGTACAATCCCACTCATTTGTATTTCCATTTTGAAATTTGGACTGAAGCATGGTCTTATTTGGCCTTCTTCGTTTTTTCTCCAGATTAGACAACTGACTACCACTGACGTTTGTGTCATCCCACGCACCGAGAGAAGCCTGGTAACGTTTGTTCCATTCTTGAATAAAGAAATCCCTCAATTCCTTCCTTACAGCATCAGTGACAATGTATTCCGCTCGAATGTAGTTTTGGCTTTCCTCGCTTTCCCATGGCAATCCGGACATTCTGGTTCCTAGAAATTTATAATAATTTAATCTAAATATTATAAGGAACAAAATAGGACAGTCGTTTTGATATGATTAAAAACATTTAGAATATTTTTTTAATGAGACCGCACTTATTGAAAGAAAAATCGTTTTGACGATGTTAAACGACTAGAAATCAAATCATCATAACCTGACTCGCATTGTTAGTTTTGTTGCCAAAACGTGAAGATTGAACCTTAATGATATAAACAAACCGCGAACGTTCTGAAAATTTAACGGGAATAATATCCCACGTTCATGGGGCTAAATGGGAATTTGGAAGAAACTATCTTCAAATAAAAAAGTGTATGTCGATTTTTTTTTTATATTGACTGTTCCTGGCTTGAATTTGAAGTGTGTATAATTCCACTCGAAATTAAGACTCTTTGAACCTCTGGAATTTACCTGCATCGAGTGAAGTGCCAAAAATCCTAATTGATTTACCCTCACCTATTAATAAAGTCTTTCTCAAAACGAAGCGGTGTAATCTGCAGGAATTTTTGATTACACAGATGACTGCAAATTGCATGCAAAGTTTGGTATTTTCAAAGCGCCTTAAAGCAGTATATCAAACTTATTCGAATTGCATAAAAAACTTACATAATTCAAGAAACATATGACAACTCGGCTTCTAAAATGTATATTTTTGTATCCAGATGAAAGGTTGATAGGGCTGTAAGGCATTTGCGTATAGGTGCCTGAATTATCCTAGAAGACACGCGGGTTTCCCCAGTCAAATTTCCTTATTTGCACGATCTTCTTTAACGAATATAAAGCGTTGCATGAGCTGCGAGATACCTTGACTACGGAAAATTATTCTATTCGTAATGAACACCATGTCAACCTAATTGACTGTAAAACTAGTCGTTTTAGAAACTCGTTTTTACCTTCAAGTATCGTAGCTTATAATGACTCATTAAAGTAGTTTTTAGAATTTTATGAATTAGCTATGGATTGTCTGTTTTGTACTTTTCTAAATAATTTCCCTAGTATAGTTGTAAATTTAATATTTTTACTCTGTATTTGTATATTGGATATTCTT